TATAAACCCGATTGGTTGTTGAATGCAACGCGAGTGTGTTTTGCTAAATTGCTAAATTTGTAAATTGTGTAACACATGAAATCTCATAAGATTCGGAGGAATGAGGTCACAGCCGTGATCATCATCATCATCATCATCATCATCGTCATCATCATCGTCATCGATCCAAAGCTCGTCATCGCTCGCTCGTCACGCATCCGTTCCTTTGCTTCTATCGTGTTTTTAATATTGTTTGATTATACTGTAAATATTGGAGGTGTGCTGTGATATTTATTCAGGACAATCATCTTGTACTGGTTCTTGAGTTCATATTGTACATGATCAAATATACTGTATGGATCAACAAACGTCTGCTTGCTCATAACTCACTATATTATATGTATATATCACTCAGAGTTCTTTTAGATCATGAATTTGTTTAACTGTCCTTGTTAAATCTTGCTAAATGTCCATGTTGAAAATCTCACACAGGTTTATAAAGTTAAATCAGTAACACTTTACCGAAGTCTTTATGTATTATGCATTATAAAGGTATGTTGTAATGCATTATATTTTTCATAAATAATTGTAACCAAAAATGCATTGTAATATTTGAAGGTTTGCTTGTTGTGTGTTTTAATGCATTGTACTTTCTAAAGATGTAACAATGAATAGAAAAGTGTTATAATGCATCATAACTGTGGTTATAATTATTCATGAGATCATTAAATAAGGCATAATTAATGCATTAAAACACTTTTATAAAGCATTAAATATATATTAAGGCTTTACGTAAAGTGTTATATTTATATCATTTATATCAAAAACTACATTAAGGTCTCGTTAGTTAACATTAGTTAATGCACAATTACTTAAAAACACAACTGTTCAATGCACTGCATATATATAATTCAGATGCAAGATGACTTAAGATATTAAGTCGTAATTTCTGAAAAATTTATTAAAATCCAGCGGATTTATTCTTAATACGAGAACAAATATTTTCCTGTGGGGTCTGGAAAAATAATCTTGTTTTCCTTTTGAGTTAAGTTTATTTTTCTGACCTCATTGGCAAAATAATTTTAATTTAAATTTATTTATTATTATTAGAACATATCTTGATTTAAAGATGCTTAGATATTTGTACTGGAAAAAACTGTCAAATACCAAGTTTTGCCACATGTTAGTTTGCTCATATTTGCTCAGGGCAATGAAATAATATAACGGGTACATTTGGTTTTAATAATGCATTTGTT